TTCTCATATTGCAATGTCGTTATCCAAATTAACTCAAAAAGCAATAAAATTTGAATGAGATAAACAGTGTGAAGAAGCTTTTAAGAAATTAAATAATTGTTTAATAAATGCTCTCATATTAACATATCGATATTCAAAAGGATTCCACTTTTTCTGTAATGCTTCATTAAGAGGTCTTGGAAATGTATTGATGCAATTGAATAAGTTAGTGGCATATGCTTTAAGGAAGGTAAAAGTTAATGAAAGAAATTATCTCACCCATGATTTGGAATTAACAGCTGTAAACTTTTTACTTAAAATCTAGAGATATTATCTATATGGAGTCAGATGTGAAGTCTTCACAGATCATAAAAGCTTTAAATATATATTTAATCATGAAGAGCTTAATTAAAGACAGAGACGATGGTTGGAGCTCATTATGGATTATGACTTGGATATACAATATAATCATGGAAAGGTCAATGTAGTTGTAGATGCATTAATCAGAAAGACTCTTAGATGTGCAAATTGGTTGATTACCCAGCAGGAGTAGATAATTAGAGATACAGAAAAACTAAAAATTTCAATGATTAATTAGAAAGATACAAAAGTTATGCTATTAAATCAGCTGGTAATTCAATCCACTTTAAAAGATAGAATATAAAATTCATTGTCTCAAGATGTAAATTTTCAAGAAATCATAAAGAAAATGTTGGCAAGACGGTTGAAAGATTTTGTATTTGATGATGAAGGATTGTTGAATCATAAAGGCAAAATTTCTATTCCAAATATTGTCAATTTAAGAAAAAAAAATATTATAGGAAGCTCATTTCTCTAGTTATGAAATTTATCCAGGCAGTACAAATATGTATCAAGAACTAAGAGGATTATTTTGGTGGCCAGGACTAAAAAGTTGTATTATAGAATTAATCAAACAAAGAGGTTCAATTAAAAAATTAGCAAAGATATATGTTGATGAAATTATGAGATTGAATGAAATTCCAAAATCTAGTCTCTGATAGAGATGCTCGTTTCACTTCTAGAATATGAAAAAAGAGTAAGAGAGCTTTGGGTATCAGATTGACTTTCAGCATTGCATTTCATCTTCAAATAGATGGAAAATCAGAAAGGACAATTCAGACTTTGAAGAATTTACTTAGATTATGTGTATTAGATTTTGAGGGAAATTGGGAGATCCATAAACCCTTTAATAAAATTTACATAAAATAACAATTTTCAATCTAGCATTGGAATGACACCTTATGAAACTCTCTATGAAAGGAAGTGCACAACACCTTTGTCTTGGGTAAAAATAAGTGAAAGGTAAATAATTGACACTGAACTGGTTGATGATGCTATTAACAAGATTAGATTGATCAGAGACAAAGTCTCATAAGTACTACGAGTATTTTATTTCAAAAGGGTAGCATGCATGAATTATTCCTACTAGTATACGTATATATAGATCAAATCTTGGTATTAAATCTCTTCTATTTGCATGTAATTAAATATTTCAGAATTTGTATAATTGAAAGTCTTTCTAAGAACAACTTCACTTAATAGTTTTGTGCGTTTGAAAATGATGTATAATTGACGCCGTGTCATTTTATCTCTCATATTAAATTTAAATGTGCAATCACTTTCAAATGCCACTTTTAAGTTTCATTTGTATATTTTCAAGATAAAAAATACATCACATTCTAACACCCATTTCTCTCTTCACGTTATTTGCAAAGTGCATTTGGAGCTATTTGGACAACAAGACAGAATATTCAGTCGCCTCCATTTCTTCTAAAGGGAGATGATACGGTCGGTTGCACCGTTGACTAGCTTCAGTGAGGTAAAATCAAAAACTTAGAGCCCCCTAGCTCCTCTAAGTCTTGCATGTGATTATGATTCCCCAAGCTTTAGGTCCTTGTGGAATCCCTGCATTTAATTTTTCAAATCTGTTGTCCAGCTATCAAGTAGAATTTTATTTATTAGTAACAAATATAGGTATGTGTAGTATTGATTTATTACCCACACTTAGAAATTTTCCTATTGATTTTTCATAGAATCATAATGGGCCTAATAAAATCATTTTGTTAACAAAAATGAGATAAGATAATTAACCATGAACAAATTCAATTTATCACACCCTGAGAAATAAAAATTATTAATGGATTTAAATAAAATAAATTAACAATATAATTAATTAAATTAAACAGGCAAAATAAGAGATTGATAAAATTCTAAAATAAAATTAAACCATTAAACTTAAATGATTAAATAGCATTAATTAAATTTAATTTAATTATCTCAAACAAAATAAGACTTATTAATTAACATAATTAATCTTGATTTAGTTAAATGAATTCATTAGTTAAATACTAAGAAAATAACAAAACGACCTTTCATGCTTTATATTTGACTTTGTTGAGGGCATATTAACATTGGATTTATGGGTCTTCAATAAATTTTAGATAACAAAAGACCCTTACGCATTGTATTTAACTCAATTTGGAAGATACATATATATTGGATTCTGAGAGTCTTTAATAAATTTTGAATAAACTAAATACTTTCATGCATAGTGTTCACCTCCTTTACGAAGGCATAATTGCATTGAATTATAAAGCCTTGAATAAATCCTTAATGAATTTAAATAAATTTAAAATTTGACAAATAATCAAATAATTAATCAAGGTAATTACTGGGTAACCCGGACTTACGATGCTATTTAGTTAGCCCAAATGAGGGTGAAATAAACCTCATAGCCCTGATTTAACAAAGGTGATTACTGTTCAATTTAAATAAATATTCATCAAAATCAGTAATATAAACAAATACCTCAAAGCCTTCATACGTTATGCTTGATTCCTTTTGGAGAGAATATATGTATTGGATTTATAAGGCTTAATGTTTAGACACTTGGTAAATCATTAATGAATTTAAAAGACAGTAATAACATTTTCAAATATCAAAATCTAAACTTAAATCAACACCTCACTTAGCCTATAACCAAAAAAATAATTCCTAATTTAAATATTTTAAATGATAAATCTCCTAGGACATATCAAAAACACACGACATTTTTTTCACACACTAGAATTTGCTTACTAGGCCACTGACTCTAGTTTAAGGCTAGACCGTAGTATGTTTTGGTGTGATGCGGGTATCTATGCCTAGAGGGCATCATTTATATGTTTGTTTATTTATTTTATGCATACATAATTGCATATGCATTTTCATGTTATTTTATTTAATTCAAAAAAGAAGAGCAAAATAGAATGTACTTATGATGATTGTAAAAGAAGACTCAAAGAAGAATGTACTTATGATGCTTATAAAATAAGATTCAAAGTAGAATGTACCTAGAGTCAAATGTAAATGCTTGGAAATATTTGCTATACATACTCACATAGAGCTCCAAAAAATAATCCCCCCAGTTGAGGGCATTCACTTTTGGAATCCTATAAAAAACCTAAAGCCAGAAGATGATGAGCAAATATATTCAAATATATATATTTCATAGATGTAGAAAATCATGTTTGTCGTGGAGCTTGACCACATTTCTTTCTCGAAGACCCTAGATTTGTATTTATGTTTATAAATAAAAGAATAAAAAATTTTCTTTATACATTTGCTTCATGCATACATAACGTTAGATATATTCAGTTGCATATTATTTATATTCTTGATTTAAATCTCTTAATTATAATCCTTGACTCTGTAGTATAGAGTCATCCTTTCTTGCATTCATAAGGCGTGGATTGTGCTTAGGATCTGACAGCTTACTCTAGACAAGCATAAGCCCATATTATACACTCCTCAGTGTGTCTTCTTTAAATCCTAAATGAATTCTAAGTCTATAGTTCATTCTTAAATGTTAAATCAATCTTTGATCTTGTAAACTAAAATTTTTAATCAAATCCTCATAAATTTAAAAGGTTTAATCTTCGCTAAAGATAAAGAAAAGAGCTTATCCTCTTCAGAATAGAACCTAGGAGCACTTTCTGTGCACCAAATTAAGAAGAGAATAATATGATATCCTAAATCGAGAGTATTCTTGGTTTGAGGTCTAAGATATAATTAACCACGGGGCTTGCACCATTGGAAAACCGACACCCACATCAAATAAACTTCATTCGAGCTGATGTATCGAATGAAAAAAATCTCGTGATTATTGGGTCATATAAATTATTACTCATCAAGGTGTGTAGGTGAAACAAACTATCCTCCATGATTAATCGTATGTATGATCTGATCTGCTCTCTCATTGACTTGCTTGCGTAGAGCGTAAATGCCTACGACCGTTTTGTCATACGGGACATTGCGATCGTACCATATGCAATCTAACCCCCGCTAGCAACATTCTTTTGGAGACCCACAGATATATTTTGTTTCCTTGTTGCTTGAATGCTACTTCAATGAAATTCTTTCTAGCATGACAATTAGATATTGCATATTTTCAAGGGAAGCCATCTCTATGTATCAGCATAAGGCATAAATAGTTATTTAGTCATTTTTTTTCCTAGCTCTATTTTCAAGGGAAGCTATCTCTATGCATCAACAGAAGAAAACATTTTACCATGTTTTATGAAAAGAATGAATTGAATACATGAACATTCTTTTGATTTTATTGTCATTTAAGATTTAGGAAGCTGAGATTCAAATAGGCCAGGAGGCTATTACAATGAAGCTCTTATGCACTATTTCCTTTCTCTTAAAAGAAATTTATCAAGTAACTTTAGCTGAAAAATGATCCTCCCAAACCTCAACTAGCTAATATCACTTTAAAGATCCTTATAAGCACAATTTTCAATTCATTTCTGTCAGTAAGCAACTTATAGGAAGTTTCCAATTGTTTGGACTCATCTAGACTTATTTTTTTATTCTCTACTCCCATTAAAATTTATGCAAAATACCATCTATGCACGTCAACAATCCTTTAAAAAAAGTGTAAACCGCAAATTTGTTGTTACAAACTCAGCACATTCATATTCAGGGAGAGCAGAGAGGTGGATGTGAGGAGAATATACCTGTGGCTGCTAATTAACATGTCTATGAGACGATCAGGTCGCTCTTTATGTTTGTAGGCATAAACATTAATAGCAGCACCTAGCACCTATAGAAATGCAGCACAATGATCATCATTCTGTTAACATCCTTATAATTATGAGTTTATGCATTATTTAATATACTTGTTTAGAAAACTCTTTTTTGGGGAAGCACAAGAGCATACCACATTTTAATGCCAGATAGAATATGTAAAGCCTTCTGCATCTATCCTACTTTTCTAAGTGAACTAAAATTTTATATTAGTAACTAAGCACAAGCCATCTTAGCTAGATAAGCAAATTCGGCACAAATTGATTAAACTTGGTTGGGAAATAAAATAAAAAGTTCAAGACCATCCAACCAGAGCTTGGATAACAGAATGTAATTTATGCGAACTATAATAGTTTCCTCTCTTCCAAAAACAACTTGAATCCTTTGCAAGACTTTAATGAACAACAAAGTGCATCATGTTTGAGTTTTCTATGATAACTTGATTTATGCAGCATTATAACATAATTTTATTTTAAAAAATGAACAGCAACCCTAAAAATCAGTTCTGTTATAATTCATCAGAAAAGTTTCCTTTGAATTTTGAATATAATTTAAACTATAAAATATTTACCAAGATACTTTATCCATATAGAAAATGTTAATTGCATTCCTTCTAAAAATTGTTTAATAAGAATAAACTGGATTTGCATTTGGCCAAGCATTGCCCAGTACGATTGATAAAGTAACATCATAAACTGAAACAAAAAGTAGATCCATCATAAAACACGGACATGGAAACAAGGTTTATTTAATTTTTCAGGCAGCAAGATTATTTATGGCAATGGGGACTATGCAGGACCATATTCTCTTCAATCCAATGTTAGAAAGGCTGTGTGTGTTGCGCATAGGTTTTATTTTATTAAAAATTTATGTTTGTTTCATCCTTCTTCGAAGCCCAAAATATACAACAAGTGCTAGCACAGTAACGCTCCATGCTTCTATCAGAAAAGAAATTACCATGCCACCAATAATCAAGAGCTTTTTTCTGACAAGCTGGTAAAAGTAGATTGCGTGAGACTTATTCACAATAAAAACCATTTGTTCTTCTTTAAAGTGTTAGATCATGGATGAAAGTTTTCATAAACTTGAGTCCCCCCCGCCCTAATCCACACCCACAGAATAAGGAAAGATGGATAAACAGGTTGAGGCTTTACCTGGTCCCAGTCATCTTCATCTATCGTGCCTTTAATATTCCTCAAAAACTCAGTTAGTTGACCACCCCTTTTCCTCTCAGCAAGGGATGCAGCTACACTGGCATAGATATCAACAGCTACAAGAATTGTTCAAATAAAAAAGTAAAAAAAATGTTAACATAAAGAACAATAATTTACTTCAGTAACGTTTCTACAGTAAATAAACAATTGTAAACCAGCAGGAAGCTTCGGTGCAAATTAATTTCACAAACCAAACAAGCATTTAACATGATGCTATTACCAGGAAGGTTAAATTGATATATCACTTGAAAAGCCAAGTCAAAATGCTTCTCAGCAAGGGTTTCTGCAACCACACACCTTCTCCTACAAGGCAGATGGTAGAAAACATTTAAAAGTATAACCATTAAAAAGTATGAGACAGGAAAAGGTTCGATCTCATAATTTTTATAAATTTATAATGGCATTAAAGATCGAATACATAAATAATTAGCTCACTGAAGAGTCAACTAAAATACCTGCCTACAGTAAAGTTGACATATCAAAACATATACAGATAAATGGTACGTTATAGCACATACAATCCTTTGTTCATCAGCTGACGTTATAAACACAAAAGCAATGAGCAAAGGCTCCTACAATAAATAACCCAAATACAAGTGGATAATACGTAGTTTCAGACTGATGTAAAAACACGTTTTGAAACCATGTATAGATGGATATTCCTTATTCTAAAAAAAAAAGGAGAAATCTCACTTTCACAACGGAAAGTGAAAGAACCATATGGAACAGGAAGCATCCTGTATGGATTAGTTGAATCATAAACTAAAAATATATATTTTCTTATCAAACAAGAGAGTAGGCTTGTCATATTAGAGGAATGAACTGCATCATATACATTCCACATCAATACGAAGCTGGCATTCACAACACTATTTTAGAACTTGAAAATTTTGCATTCACGTACTATAAATACCTGAAAGTTTCTGGGTCGCTAGGATTTCCAAAAAGTGAATATCTCCATTGTGGTCGTTCATTGTCATTAAGGGACTTCACTACTTCCACCTGCAAGGTATACAAATGAGTAAGAGGGACTTGCATCATCGACCAGAAGAAATCCAGGTCATTTAGTTCTAGCTTGTGCTGGGATATTAACTCAGGGGAAATTAGGAAAACCTTTAATTAAAAAAAAAAAAACAAGAAGTTTATCCGGTTACCTCTTGTTTCTCTCAATACAAAAATAACAACACTAAAAAACTTTACAAAATTTGACAGTATCTAAGAGGGGAATGCGGGGCTTCTTCTGCAAACAAACAAGTTGTACCAAGCCAGGGTTGCAAAGTTGCAGTTAGCATCTTCATGTGGCTGCTCATGGCCAAGTAGCCACAAGGCAAGCTGCACGCAATGCAGCTAGAGCATTTCAAAAAGCATTTTATATCCATGTAAGACATTGACAAATAATAAATGTCAAACATGCCAAAAATCATATCTGAACTTTTACCACAAAATTTGGGTCAAGTATGGTCGGGATGCACCTCAAAACAACTGAGACGCATGATGATGGTGAAGCTATTTTTTTCGCTCAAGCTTTGCAATCTATGATTTTTCTTGATGATGATGAAAGCATTGACACTAGCAATGATGATGATCTCGACGCCAAGTGTGATGGGTCTGTTTAGTGTTATAATATTATGTTAATATTGTGTTTATTTTGAATATATACTCCTTTTTAGGATTTTGGCATTTTGCATGTAGAATGAATAATGTTGATATTGACAAAATTATATCAAATGATTAATGATGGTGTTGGTGTGTTTTTGAAAATTAAGCATAACATATGAAATATTATTAAACCAATGTTGGTTTTCTCTATTGTTGACCCTTAAGCTCCTTTTGTAATACATATGTTATCATACTTTATTGTATGGTGTTTTTTAATACTTTAAATTATTAGTTATCATCCTTTTGTAGCAAGAAACTTTAAATTAGTAATTTAAAAAAGAAAGCAGCATGACATGAACCTATTTTCTACAATTCTATCAGATCCCCGCATTGTGTCATTGTCTATGCTTTATAGGTTGCACAAGAGGAAGCAATTCAGGGTGAAGCTGGTCTGCTTGCAAGCAGCCCCAACTAGGGACGCAAAGCCATATCAGGGTTGACCACCAAGTGCTATGCAATTGAGCATCCCTACAAGCAACAACTGTGTTGGGAGGGTGTTACTTTCTTGTGCACCTTGCAAACAGAGCCATATGGTGCTTTTTGTGCGGTTGTATGTTCTGTCAACTATTCATAATACGAATATATCAATAACAGATATCCATGGTTGAAAGTAGGTCACAGAGTATTAGTTATAAATTAAAAAAATGGTTATGGGTGATGTACATCTCACAATAAAAAGATCAAACAACTAGTAGAGTAGCAAGAGTGCAAGAAAAACTAAAATGAACTAATTATAGGTCAAAGTTAGAAGAACATTCAACAATATTGTTAAATTTTCACTATCAACAGAATGTTCAAGAGGCCTAATAATTGACAGTCAACAAATCAAGCACAAAAATATTTTTGATTTTCACAAAAAAAAAAAAAACTCTAAAAATTGTCAACCAGGAAGTAATATGTTGAAGTACCAAAGCCAAAGATTAGAAAAGTAAGCTAGTGAAATTTTAAAATGTTCGAGATGGTTTTTGGCAACCAGAAAGGGAGTTCCTCGTCATCATTATGAAATTTGGTTTCAGAACAATATTCTTTACAGGTATACAACAGTAATAATGTCAGGTACCATAAAAGTTACTATAAAAAAAAAAAAGTTGAGTAAAATAATAATGTTTAAATTTAGAAAATGACAAAAAATGTGTAGAGAAAATAAAAAGAACAGAATAAAGTCAATGATTAAAGTTCATTCGCTAAAAAAAGTATTAACTAAATAACACAATTTTTATGAAAAATAACGTGACAACGAAGAGGATCAAAAGAACTAGAATAAATACATTGCACATTTACACCATTAAATAAGAATTATATATGGCTAGTGCAACAAAAAGCATCTCCAAAGCCTTAACACAGGTGCTGGCAAGGTGCCTTCCTTTTTGAATGAATTGCACAGTGGAAAACGCACCAGATAATTCATGTCATTGCTTAGGCAACTGTACATTGGAAACCTAAAGGCATTGAGGCATCGATGTCTCAATAAGCATAATAGATCTGTTTTACTTTGAATACCTTCCACAATAACTGTATGACTCCAGCCTTGTAAATGCTTGTATAGGCTAAAACATGAAGAGGCCACTAAGTTTATTTTAACTTAGTTTGCAACAGTTCTACCACCATACTTTCCGTGTAATAATTATTCCTCTATCTATTTTTCTAATCTTTACCAATCATCGATCTGAAAATGTAAACTTGGATTTTACTTCTTAGTAACTTCTATGAGGGAAAACACTGGAATCCATCTACAAAATATTCAATCATAAACGGTTGCTTAAAATCTTCCTTTCTGCATCCATAATACTAGAAAGGCAAACCTTCACTTTGACTTCTGAAATTATCGGATGCAATACCATTAGTTGTACGAAAAATACTATAACACGCAATAGCCTACTAACAGGATAAACCAACACTAGTTTCACCGACAACCTTCTTTTTTACAGAAAGAACAAGTGTAAAGTAGGTCACCAACATAACCTAACTTTTTGGGTGGTAACCCAATGGCACAAGGATGGCTGATAAGTCATAATAAAACTAGAAGTAGAACTATAAGTTGCAGTGCCATACATTTCTGAAATTTCAACAAATAAGCCAAGCATGAGAACTCAATTTTTAGTGCTGGTGATCCCCATTAATAGTCTATTAATACTCGAAGTGTAACAAGATCGTTGATGTGATTAAGAATCACCTGTGTAAAAGCAGAAGCACTTTTTTTCTTTTTATCATTATTTATGTACAAAGACTGGTACCTGAATACCAACACGAGCAGAAAGCTTTATAAGCTCCTCTTCAGTGAGTTTATTTGAGGCACTCTTTCCACGAGCAACCTTTGGCAAAAATTTTGTGGTTTCCCCAGTCCTATGACGTGCTGATAATCCTTCTTCAAAGTGAACCTATACCAAGTTAATGAATGATGAGGACGTATAAGGAAGATGTCTCTGTACATAGAAGGATATTTGTAAATCCAAGAACAAAATTTAAAAGCATCCCTACCGGATAAAGGCTTTAGCCTAAACCCAAAACACTGTAGCTTCGTACAATGAATTGGGTCACAAAGCATGCATATAACATATTACATAGGAGAACTGACATCTCTTTTTTTCAACACATAAATATAAGACAAAATCAAATATATATATGACAAATGAAGGAAAGTACATAACAATAACCTGCAATAAGAAAACTATCATTAAATAATATTGAATGCATTTTACAATAACGAAACTAATTATCTAACAATTTTTTATCACTTACCAATATTGTAATCAGTGGTCATCCTTACAAAGTCGGATGAGCTCATCAAGGTCCTATATTGATGCAGGACTACGTATGAATGCAATCAATTATTTAGAAATTTGCACAACTCTTGATTAGAATAACAGTGAAATAACCAATAGCATTTTAAAACAATGAATAAAACAAAAAAAGGTCACACCCGCTTAGGCTAAATCACATATCCATAGAGTTGTAAAACTTTCAAAATAAATTAGTAAATCACTTTATGCCGAGTAGTAGTATCAATACAATCCCTAATCTAACAATGAAATTAATAAGTATAAAGGTACACTCAAACCCTACGTTTACTAAGCTTAGCATGAGCAGGAGTCGTCCTTCGTGATTACAATCAAATGCAAGAGAGAGTTAGATTCAAGAACGGTATTGAAAGGGGAGAAGAGAACCTCTCGTCAAGGAGCAATGGAGATCCTCCACTCAACGCCTTCGAAATGTTCGTCGATTGCTTCCACTAGGGTGTCCAAAATGCGCTCTAAGTACTCTTCGACAGTGTGATCGATCCTTGTATAAACGTCGAAGAAGATTAATTGAAGAATATCAGTGAAGCCGTCGTTGTACCAGGTTAACTCGTATTCAGTTTATGGATCCGCCATTCATGGGAGCTAGGGACAAATCTCCTTTCATCTTGATAGTGCTCTTTGAATCTTGCCGAAGAGAAAGAAGTTTTTTCTTGCAAGTGGAGAGGAAAGAGAGACAAGGCGAAAATATGAAATAAGTTTCAGATTTTTGTAATGGTCGAGAGTTGATGAGGGAGAGAGGAAATTGGAGAGAGAGAGAGAGAGAGAGAGAGAGAGAGAGAGAGAGAGAGAGGCAGGTAGGGAGAGAGGGGGCCGGCCGTATCAAGAGGGATGGGGATGGGGGGAATTATTTCCTAACTCAAATATTTGATTTAGGAAATAATTAATAATTGTAGGCTTTGGAAAAATTTGGCCAAGGAGGGAATTATGGATTAGTAATTATTTTCTAAGTGGGGAGTTGGGATTAGGAAGTAATTTGAAAAGAATTTAATGAGGGAGGGCTAGGGGGGTGGGGGGGGGCATGCATTGGCAAGGGGAAATTAATGAAGTAATTATGACTTCTTAATTTAGGTTTTGGGATTTAGGAAACATTTAATTTAAATTCTTATGAATTTAAAATTCAAAATTAGATTTAAATTAGGCACTTTCCTAAAATAGAATAACTAAATCAGGAAAGATTTTGAATTCAAATTTAAGTGAATTTGAATTTCAAAATTATCCCAATTAGTCCCAACCTAATTAGGAAACCAAAGGAGAAGGGAAAGTGAGGAGGAGGCCGGCGGCTAGTGGCCTTGGGCCGGTGCGGGGTGAGGGTGTCCGGCGGCCTATGGGGGAAAGAAATTGTAGAGCTAGGTTAGGGTGTGATGTTGGTCGGAATTTGGAGGTGGAATTTGATGTGGTGAAGACGAATAATGAGGTGGGAAGGGGGAAAGACAAAAGAGAAAACCACGAACCCGGCCGTCTCCAAGGTTGGTGGGTGATCCGATCTCCCTCTCCTAGGGATCTCTCCAAAGTTCTCTCCAAGAACTCTCAAACGCTCTCAAACACAAGAGTGAAAAAATTTTCTCATAATCATTCATTACTCAAAAAATAGAACAGTGGGCTATAAATAACCTAATACAAGATACTCAAGAAATAAAAGACTAAAAGGCCCTCGGGGCTTACATACGACACCCCTTCACTAGAAGGGTACAACGGGAAGTAAAGGACATGAAATAAAACAAACAAACTACACGACATGAAAATAAAACAATACATGGCATAATCAGAAATACAATGAATCGATCGTGGCCGTAGATCGGGACCACGTCTCTGGTAAACTTTCCATGATCTGATGTCCCATCACTCTCCCGAGGTAGGAGAAAAGTCGACTCCGTCGAGTAAGTGTCTCTAGTGCTCTCGTAGATCTCTAGTGCATCTGGGTCAATCTGCTGCAACTCGTCGCGATCTAGCCACGTATCCTCTGACTCGAGCTTTCCTTTCCTCCTGATCAAATACCTCCTTCGTCCACCTTCTCTTGTGGATATGATCTCATCACTTGGGATTGCATCCACCTGCTCTGTCATTGTTGATTTAGGAATATCTGGTAGTGGAGGTAGGTTTGGGATCTCATAGGGTGGGTTCACACAAGGCTATTTTATAAGTGGATTTGGCTGGTTAAAATCAGGACCTTCATATGCTACTAAGTCTTCTATGTTAAAAGAGGGATTTATATTAAAATCTGCAGGCATATCTACAACATAGGCATTATCGTTAATTTTCTTAAGTATTTTGAAAGGTCCAGCACTCTTGGCATGCAACTTGTTTAATTGTTCCTGGCGGGAACCGTTACGAACGAATCTGCACCATCACGGAGTCACCAACCTCAAAAGTTTTAAAGCGTCGTTTTAAATTTGCATGTAGTTTATATTCATTATTATTCCTTTCAATTTGTTTTGCAATTTCCTTATGGAGTTCATGCAAATGAAGATGCAGACTAAGAAATCCAAAACCTAGAACACATGGGTATCAGTTATAACGGTTGTCTAAGTTTGAACCCGTACACAATTTCAGAAGGACTTAGGCCCGTGGTCTGGTTGATGGAATTATTATTAGCAAACTCAGCAGTAGGCAAAATAGAATCTCAATCTCTAATATGCTCACCAACCAAAGACCGCAACAGATTACCCAAACTCCTATTAACTACCTCGGTCTAACCATCAGTCTGTGGGTGAAAGGAAGTGGAAAATTGCAGTTTGGCGTCAATTTTCATCCACAGGGTTTTCCAAAAATAGCTGGTGAACTTCACGTCCCTATCCGATACAATGGTTTTGGATAAACCATGTAAACGAACGACCTCATTGAAGAATAATTTCCCAATGTGAGAGGCATCGGATGTTTTGGAGCATAGAATGAAATGTGTCATTTAGGAAAACCGGTCAACTACCACACAAATGGCATCGTGCCTACGGAGTGTCTTGGGCAGGCCTAAGATAAAGTCCATACTAACATCCTACCATGGACAACTGGGTAAACAGATAGGGGAGTGTAAAGACCCGTGTTTTGCTTACGTTGGTTGGCCAGTTGGAATGTGTGACACCGACTAACCAGCCGACCAACATCTCTCTTCAGGGTAGGCTAAAAGAAGCGATACTCCACGGATTCGATAGTCTTGTCCCATCCGAAGTGTCCACCGAGGCCTCCGGCGTGGAGTTCCTAGACTAGAAATTCCCTAAGGGAGGTGCTCGAGATATAAAGCCTCTGGGCTTTGAAGAGATAACCATCCTCTAATAGAAATTCGTCCACAAGGCGCGTGCTTCCTGTGGACAAGAGTGTAGGTCTCCTTGAAGTCGGGGCATTCCAAATAATCCCTCTTTATTTAGTCAAATCCCACGATTTATGCTCTAATTTCAGTGGTGGTCATCATAAGACAACAGAGAGCACCGGCAGCCTTATTTTCAACTCCCGCAATATGTCTAAGGGTGTACGTATATTCCTGAAGGAACTCAACCCATCGACCATGGCGTGCATTCAATTTTTTTGGGGAGTTGATATAACCTAGAGCTTCGTGATCCGAGAAAATGACGAACTCTTGCGGGAGCAAGTAGTGTCGCCAATATCGAAGAGATTGGATCACGGCGTAGAACTCTGTCATACGTGAAGTAACGCTGCCGAATATCATTTAGCTTTTCACTGAAGTAAGCCACCGGGTAACCTTTCTGGGACAGGACTCCAATTCCGACCCCCGAAGCATCGCAAGTCACTTCGAAGACTTTGGAGAAATCAGGAAATCGCATCACTGGGGCTTCCACCATCTTTTGTTTGATCTCATCAAAAGCTCAGGTGGCGACCGGGGTCCAGTGGAAATCATCCTTCTTTAAATAATCAGTGATAGGAGATACGATGGTGCTAAAGTTTCGAATGAATCTCCTATAGAAGGTGGCTAATCCGTGGAACCTACGGACTTCCCGGATGTTTTGAGGGATAGGCCACTCCATAATGGCCCTCACCTTCTCAGGGTCTACGGAAACCCCTTGGGTTGAAACGATAAAGCTCAGGAAAATGACGTGATCTACAAGAAAGGTACATTTCTTCGGATTGGCATACAGTTGCTCCTTCCTTAAGGCCTTACAAACTTGCCTCAAGTGGCCTAAGTGCTGACTAATCGACTGACTGTAGATAAGAATGTCGTCAAAGTAGACGACGACGACAAACTTTCCCATGAATGGGCGCAACACTTGAGTTATGATCCTCATGAAGGTACTAGGGGCATTACTTAGCCCAAAAGGCATGACTAACCACTCGAAGCGACCATCCTTGGTCTTGAAGGCAGTTTTCAACTCATATCCATGTCGAATCCGGATCTGGTGGTACCCACTTTTGAGATCAATTTTGGAGAATAGTGTGGCACCCATCATCATATCAAGCATATCATCCAGCCTCGAAATAGGGAATCGATATTTGACGGTGATATTGTTGATAGCACGGCTATCAACACACAGTCTCCAAGATCCGTCCTTTGGGGTGAGAAGGGCCGACATCACGCAGGGACTCAAACTCTCCTTAATGAAACCTCGTTGTAGTAACTCGTCAACCTGCTTCTT